TGAAAACTTGACTCTTGATACAAACCTTAATCAAAATCGCCAATTGCTCATTTGAGGTCAAAGAATCTTTAGAATTTTAAGTATTCTTTTCAATATTTTTCATAACAGTGGAGTATTAAATGTGAAATTCAAGAACTTAATAACCTAAAAAGCATAGCAGAACTACAACAGGACATAAGTTACTCATCAAAATTTATCCTCAGTAAACAGTTCTAGTGTTCTGTGCTATTCAGCTCAACAAATACTATTTACACTTCATTAAATGCCAGCCATTGTGCCAAATACTAATAGGGTCCTAAAGATGATTAAAACAAACGCAAAGAGAAACTTTGAACACAATATAGCACCCACCAGAGGTCCACCTCACCAAAATCAGTGACTAAAATTACTAAGAGCACCCTATAGAGAAAATTGTCTGGGATTTAGATTAATCCAACATCTGAGTTTGCTTTCTCACCTAAGAACTATGTGGCACTTGCCAAGTTACTTTTCTTCTCAGAAACAGATTTATTATTACTCACTTTCTAAGCTTGGAAAAAGTGATTTTCCTACTTGCCACTTTGGAGTGCTTCTTAAACTTATTTGGGTCACAAACCCTTTGAGACTTTTCTCCAAGAGACATTACTCTCAACTTTTTGTATTTAATTTTAGAGGTCCAGGAATCACTGAAAATCCTTTCGGTCTCTTTCGGAGTCAATGGAGCCCAAGAAAACAACTTTAATACCAACAACTTTGAGGATTTGAAACCCATCCATCAGGGAGGATACGTGTAAACCTTCCTGAAAATACGTTTAACAAGTACCAGCATAACGTGAAAAGTTATGGAAAATGCTTTGTTTAGGATAAATTGAGAGGGAGCCTGTAACAGTAAATTTTAGAAGAGATGGAATATTTCAAACATTAAGACTCTAGAAAGAACTGTTACCTCCAAAGAATCTTTGTTCAAACCATAGTACCACTCTCGCCAACGTCCATGGCTCTCTGGAGATTTGGCCAGTACTATCACTGCATTGTTTGAAGAAACGCTAATCTCGGGTTCTTTGGTACTTAATTTATTTTCTGGAGCAAACTGCAAGAAGAAGGAATAAACCGAGTCTTGTGTGGAGAAGCACAGTTTGTACCAGAGGGGGTTCAGATTCCACTGAAGACTTTGAGGCTGAATCCGCGGCACTTGAATTAGCAGAGTCAAGGATTCTTCATCCTGATTACACTGCATAGGAGGACACAAAGGTTCCCTGCTGTCGGTGTCGGGGCCACCCATTGCTGGGTCAGAAGGCTCGCCACCGGGGCCCTCCAGGTCCTCATGTGTCTCCACACTGATATCTCCGCACGCACTCCCTCTTCCTACAGGAGACTCCTGGTCAAGGGCCAGGGATGAAGTACTAGGGGAGCATACGCCACCATCCCCAGGTGAGCTCCCAGCTCCTGGGGACGACTTCTCCTCTAGGCCTGGCGGCGACACCGAGTGCCTACCCAAACCTCGCTCTTCCGGCTGGAGTTCTCTCTCCTCCCCAGCGCGCGCTGACAGAGACGCCACCTCAAGGGCACCTGGGGTGGCGATCCCAGCGTCTACCACCTGGATCCCGTTGGGTTCCGGGCTGGATCCCATGGGGCCCGCTTTCCCCACGCTAGCGGAAGCGCAGGCCACGCCATCAGTTCCGGACTGGCCCACCGACTCTTCCGGCGCCGCAGGGGGCCCGCGGCGCGCGAATGGCGCCACTGGTAGCGTGACCACCAGCTGACGCCTGGCCTTGTTGAACTGCGCCTTGCCACGGCTGTCGTCCACCGGGTAGGGGAGCGTGAACCGCAGCCGGTAGTCGGGGTTCCTCGAGTCAAGACACAACAGCTTTCCCGTCACTTCCAGCGCCGCCTGTTCAGCCGAGCGCAGCAGCGGCAGCTCGATGGTGACCACCAGCTCGTGCGGCACCGAGCTCGGGGCCGAGTCCCGGGAGCACCGGTAATCCTGAAGGTCCACGTGGTGGCGCTGCACCACGCTGCAGCGGGGCTCGGTGGGGGCGGGCTGCTGAGTCTCCAGCGCAGGTTTGGGAACCTGGGGCCCCGGGCCGACTGAGCTCTGGGCTGTCGCTGGGTACCGGTAGGGATAGGGAAAATCTGAGAGAGGATCCTCCTTCCTGTTGGGTGGGGTCCGGACGCTCCCCGGAAGGGGCGTGCGCAGCACGGCAGCCTCTGGGGTCCCCTTATATTTAGTCTTCAGGGTCTTGGCGTTCCTGCGGTCCAGCTTAACGCCGAACTGCTTCTCGACTGCCTCCAGGGCCGTGGCGTCCAGCATCTGACAGAAGCGCTTGTTGCGCCGGGCCAGCGCCAGCGTTTCTGGGTGGAACACCACATCGTAAACCTTATAGCGGGTCCCGCTGCGCCCCGCGTACTCTCGGCCAGGCGCCAAGCTGTACGGCAGGGACCAGTGGCTACCCATCGCCGCACCACCGCCGTCCCCCGGGCCTGGCCGGCTGCTGGGCGCGCCCACCAGCTCATTGCTGCATACATTCACGAAGCAGCGCAGAGCCCCGTCCAGGCTGGTACGCAGCACGTGGCCTGGCTCCGGGTGCACGAACCGCACCTCCACTCCGCGCTCACGCTCCAGTGCGGTGATCTCTTCCTCGTAGCGCCTCCGGTTTTCTGGGTCATTGAGCTCCTCGGCGTACGCGGAGAACATTCGCCGGAACTCCGGATCCTGGAAGGCGGAGGTGAGCCGCTGGACCTCCTCTCCGCTCAGGTCCAAATCCTCCAGCGCCGAGGAGGCTGCCGCTTTGGCCATGCTGCCCCGCAGCTCCTCGCCCTCACCCCAGGGGTGATGAGTCCAAGACTGGTTGGGCAGGGTGCCCCGCAGAGTCTCTGGTACGCGGAGAGCAAAAGGGCTGAGGTCGGTAACGGCCGCAGGATTGAGCCTTGAGCAACGCGTGCTGGTTGCCACGGTAACCCCCACTGACACCCGGAAGGAGCAGCAGCAATCAGCTGGAGGTGCCAGAAAGGGCCTCATTATTTCTTCAAAACAAGCAACTACTTGCCGTTTTTTAGATGCTTGTGCCATGATGCACTTACTTCTGCTGTCTATGGTAAAATTGTCATAATTGCCAGTATTGTGTACAAGATCTCATTCATTGTTGACTTTTAAGTTAAAATTTTCACAAACAAGAGAGACATGAGAAGTTACCTGATCAAGGTTGCACAATGTGTTCACAAGCTGTGATTTTTAACCTGACTTACATGTGTTTTTTCACTTTACTAAAACATTTCAAACTTAATTTTCCTCCTTTTTATCTTCTGGATAATCTGCCATACAGTTTACCCAGTAAAAGCTCATTTGGAGCAAAAGGGCAGGGTATTCATAAACAAATATGCCAATGAATGTAAAATGTAAAGCTGTAGTTCAGTGGTAGAGCATTTGCCTAGTATGTGTGAGACTATGTTCTCACCCACTTTTATTTAAAAGTAAATAAAATAAAGATATTATGCCCATTTACAATTTTTTTTTTTTTTGGTAACAGGAATTGAACTCAGGGGCACTTGATCACTGAGTCACATCCCCAGCCCTAGCCCTTTGTTATTTGTTCTTTGAGACAGGGTCTTGCTAAATTGCTAGGGCTGGCTTTGAACTCTTTGATCCTCCTGCCTCAGCCTTCCAAGCCGCTTAGATTACAGGCGTGCGTGTCATCGCAACCGGCTACAACTAAAGAAAATGTTTAAAATAATGCAAAATGTAAGATGCCATGTGTCACCTATCAAAATGGCAAAGCTTTCATGATTATTGTTCTCCTCAGGGTGGGAGTAGAATTTTAAGAGTGCTTTTTTTTTTTTTTTTAGCCCATATACCCATGGAATAATTGACCCAATACTTATTAAAATAGTATGATTCTAAAAGTTTGGGAAGAATCTAATAGTTCAACAAAGAACTGATGAAACAGATTTTGGCAGAGACATACAAGGGAGTTTATGTGGCCATTGTAAAGTATCTTGTAGAAATCCCTCCTCCCCCTTAGGTGCTAGAGATTGAACCAAGGGTCTCATCCCTATAGGATAGGATTTACCACTGAGCTACACTTCCAGCCTCAAAGTATATTTATTGACGGTTAGTTAATTATTCATTGGTAGCTGGCCTATCATTTTTCTATTCTCAGCAACATTTAACACAACAAATGTTGGTATTACCCCAGTAATAAGACCCTTTCTAGATTTTTCTCCTACCTTATATGCTTTCATAGTCTGTTTTGCAAGTTTATTCTGTTCAGTTTCTAAGTAGAGATGCCCCAGGCTGGGACCCTATTTTTTCTCCACCTATACTTGCTCCACAAATATATGTATGCTTACAAATACCAAACTTATATTTCCGGTTCTAACTCTATAGTCTCCTTTTATCCAGCTGCTCAAATTTGAGTTCTCCATTTGAACAAGTAATCCTTAGGTCTCTCAGGTTTGAAATGACCAAAAATAGAATTCCTAACTCCTTTCCTTTCCCAAACCTAGGCCTTGATCTCTCAGCAGGGGACTTTGTGTATCTCATATATTAATTTAAAAGTTTAACAAATTGTTTATAAAAACAAAAATATTTGCCCTCATGGAACTTCAGTGACACCAACACATCTTCATTCCTATCTGACCACTGATCCCTAAGAGATTTTTCTACCTGGATGTTCAGTAGGCATCTCAAATTAACATGATCAGAACAAAACTTGATTTTCTCCTCTCAAGCCTGTTATTCTCCCAGTTTCAGCAACTAATATTATCCTAGCTATTTAACACCAAAACCTAAGTAATCCTTGATTCTTCCTTAACCTCATCCTGTACTGCCATTCAGTTACAGTTGCCCACATTTTTTTAATCTTCACCATGGTTTTGTAGTTGGTGTTTTCTTCTAGGGTCTGGCTCTATTTATTTGAAGGTAAGCAAGATGAAATCTAGGACTTTGCCTTTCTGGTATTCCACTGGATTCTCTAGGACCTAGAACATGTTAGGTACTCATTTAATGAATAAATACAGCACAGTGAAGAAAAAAGCAAATTTATTATATAGACAGTGATTCCCAAAATATCTCTGCAGGAAAAAAAAATGCACAGAAAAAAAAAAAAACTTACCACATTAAGGAATTTGACAAGGAAGAGGGCCAGCAAAATGAGACTCCGATGAGAATTATGGACCCAACACATACACACAAGCCTGTCCCCACACATAATTTCACATAAAACTTTGAAGGAGCCAGAAACTCAAGGCTGTTATATCCAACAACCAGTTTGTAATTTGATGCATTTTTTAAATAGTATGTTGTATTTATGTTTTAAAATATCTTTACTAAGGTCAGACTTGTCCAGAATTTTGATGTTCCAAAGGTGATTTAAAATACACTAACAAGTAATTCTTGGGTATGCTCACTGGTATCAAGGTAATAACAGAAAAGAGTGGGGGAAAAAAATAGTGACTAATACCAAAATTAACTTCAGATGTTTTTTGTTTTGGTAAATTAAAAGTGCCTTTATTCCGTTGATAAGCTAACGTTAGTTTTAGTTTTTAAATGCATGCTTAATTAGAAGGGCCTTTTTTCCTTTGTACCAGGGATTGAACCCAGGGATGCTTTACCATGGAACCACATCCTCACCTGCTCTTTTTTTTTTTGAGATAGGGTCTTCTGGCTAATTGCTTAGGGCCTCCCTAAGTTGCTGGGGCTGGCTTTAAATTTGAGTTCCTGGCTTTGAACTTGCCTCAAGCTCTCAAAGTTGCTGGGATTACAGGTATGCACCAGCTCAACCAGCTAGAATATATCTTTATACATATCTACATTTTGTTGTTTTGCAGTGCAGGGGATCAAACCCAGGGCCTCTTAAATCAGCATATTTTTTTTAAAGAATGCTGGAAGTGTTTTTCCTATAAAAATTTTCAAATGTACCACTGTATTTGGTATAACAATATCAAAATTTCATAAAATACAAATTCAAGAATATTTTTAAAGTTTACCATAATTTAATAATAATATCAAAATCACTTAAGACATAAAACCAAGCAGAAAACTGATGCTTTTTTTTTCATATGGTCTTTAAGACTCTCAAAAGCCTTGAAGTTTGCTGAAAAGAGAAAAAAAAAATGAAATTAAACATTTTAGAAATCTGTTCTTGTACATTTCTTAATTTTTAGTTATAGCTAATTAGTTTTCAAAATAGATCAGCATTGTTCCAAATTCAGAAGGCAACACTAAAAAAATTTCTGTTTTAAACCCTATCTGTGTTCCTCAGAAGCAAATGTACAGCTGGGTGTGATGGTGCTTGCCAGTAATCCCAGCAGCTGGAGAGGCTAGAGCAGGAGGATCACAAGTTCAAAGCCAGCCTAAGCAAAAGCAAGGCACTAAGCAACTCAGTGAGACCCTGACTCTAAATAAAATACAAAATAGGGCTGGGAATGTAGCTCAGTGTTCAAGTGCTCCTGAGTTCAATCCCCAGTACCAAAAAAAAAAAAGGGAAATGTATACCTTATAAAGGTATTCTAATAAAAAGGAAAATAAAGTCTAGTAATATACAGGCATGTATATATGGGTTTGTGCTTTAAAAATATGTACATGGTGGTACATAACTGCATAGTGATACATATAATAATGTATACTATTCTAGGCCTTTTTCTTTTTTGTGTGTGGTGTTGAAGATCGAACCCAGGACCTTGTGCATGTAAGGCAAGCACTCTACCAACAGAGTTATAACCCCAGCCCTTCTAGGCCTTTTTCAGTTGGTATACACATCTGTAATTCCTCTATGGTTTTGAAATTTAAATAAATTCTGAGTAAGTACACATTTTGATAAATGTTTTCATTCAGACCAACTGTGTGAGAATGTGCATTTCCCCCACTGTATCACCAATACTGGTGAAACAGAGCTAACCTTATATACTTTGCCTACATTCTGTGATTAACTCCACAATGTGAATTCACAAATATTCCAACAAATGGCCTCTTAGGAGAAACTAAGCAGACACACCAGAGAATTTCAGTCTGTCTTGATATTTTTTTTCCAGTTCTCTAAAAAAATTAATGTACATCAATTTGTTTGATGCAGCACTCAAAAGAGTTTTCAAGTTACCAATACCAAATTATAGTTTGGAAATTTTATGTGAAGGCTTTTCATTATCTGAAGCCAGACAAGATACAGGAACCAACAGTTTCAATTCAACAACAAATAAATCAAGTATTATGCTAGAAATTCCCACCCTCTCACCCCACTGGGATTTGTACTAACTAGGCAAACACTGACACCGACTATATCCCTAGCCCTTTCTCTTTTTAAATTTTTTAAAAATTTAATTAATTTAAAAAAAAAATTTTTAGTTGTTGATGAACCTTTATTTTATTTATATGTGGTGCTGAGAATTGAACCCAGTGCCTCACACATGCTAGGCCAAGTGCTCTACCACTGAGCCACAACCCCAGACCTAAAATTTAATTTTAAGACAGGGTCTCACTAAGTTGCCCTGACTGGCTCTGAACTTGAGATCCTTCTGCCTCAGTCTCCCAAAACACTGATGTGCACTTCAGTGCCCAGCTTTTACTAGAAACTTAAGAATGACTGTACCAGGCTGGGGATGTGACTCAGCGGTAGAGCGCTCGCCTAGCATGTGCAAGGTCCTGAGTTCAATCCTCAGCACCTCATAAACAAAATAAAGATATTGTGTCCAACTACAACTAAAAAAAAAAAAAAAAAGAATGACTGTACCTAAGCAGTCTGGAGATTCCTTGGAAAACTTGGAATGGAACCACCATTTGACCCAGCTATTCCACTCCTCAGTCTATACCCAAAGGACTTAAAAACAGCATACTAAAGGGACACAGCCACATCAATGTTTACAGCAGCACAATTCATAATAGCTAAACTGTGGAACCAACCTAGATGCCCTTCAGTAGATGAATGGATAAAAAAAAATGTGGCATATATACACAATGAAATTTTACTAAGCAATAAAAGAGAATAAAATCATGGGGCTGGGGATGTGGCTCAAGCGGTAGCGCACTTGCCTGGCATGCGTGCGACCGGGGTTCGATCCTCAGCACCACATACAAAACAATGATGTTGTGCCCGCCAAAAAATAAAAGTATTAAAAATTCTCTTTCTCTCTATGAAAAAAAAAAAACAATGAGAAAAAAATCATGGCATTTGCAGTTAAATGGATGGCACTGAGAAGTTAGTTAGCCAAACCAAAAAAAAAAAAGCCGAAAAATATTTTCTCTGATATAAGGAGGCTGATTCATAGTGGGGTAGGGAGGGGGAGCATGGGAGGAATAGCTGAACTCTAGATAGGGCAAAGAGGTGGGAAAGGAAGGGAGGTGGGCAGGAGGTTAGCAAGGATGGTGGAAAGCAATGGACATCATTATCCAAAGTACATGTATGAAGACACGAATTGGTGTCAATATACTTTATACAATCAGATATGAAAAACTGCTGTATATATGTAATAAGAATTGTAATGCATTCCACTGTCATTTATTTTTTAAAAAGCAATTTAAAATTAATAAATAAATAATTACAGGTATTTAAAAGTATTAAGAACCAAACAGAAAAGAAAACAATTCTTCATGGCAATTAAATGTAGCTGAAACGTCTTATGCTATCATAATAAATCAATTTCCAGCTGTAATTGTTTATATCCCAATTCATTTTTAAGAAATATATAAAATGATTTGCAGAGATAGACATAAAGATAAAAGTAAGCAATTGAGGAATTTCAGGTAAAGGGAAAATATAAAGAAGATATGAAGCCAGGGCTGACTCGTCTACAAATAAAGAGATGGGCTGCATATTTGGCTAGTGCTTCTCTAACAGTTAAAATAAAGCACAATTCTAAAATAAGAATTGTGCTTGGGACAGACAGATTTGTCTTGAGAACTGTTGAGATCCCAATATTGGTTTTCATAACAGACTAAATTTTTTACGTGTAAAATTTTTATACCAAATCTCAGTTTTAGTGAAAGTCAATCTAAAAAACTGTTGTAAGACAATATGCGGGCTGGGGATGTAGCTCAGTTGGTTTAGTGATTCCCTTGCATGCACAAAGCTCTGGGTTCAATTCCCAGAAACACACAAATACAGACTACATGCTCCAGACTGACAGCCCTCTGTGATGACTTAATCTTGATGTGAGGAAGTCAGATGCCCTCAGGGGTAGCCAGATATAGATAGACAAGAACTGGAGAAGAACACATGTCCTTAACCTAAAGGCATTTCATCACTTTTTTTCCATATACAATGTGGACTAGGTAAAGTCAAACACATATTAGACTTATGGAATTAGAGGCTAGAATATCTGTGCTCTTCTGAGAATTTGTCTGCCTGTATTCCAAGAACTAAGCACTATCAGGAATATAGTAAAAACAAAACATGTCAAATAGGTGAATCCAAGAACAAAATTGAGAATATTTCATAGAATGAATATCCTTCATGAATACTAAGCAGTAAGAATATATGCATAAATTATTATTATTTTTAAAATTTTATTATGTGGTGCTGAGGCTCAAACCCAGCACCATTGCACATGCTAGGCGAGCACTCTACTGCTGAGTCACAACCCCCAGCCCTGCATAAATTATTTTTAAGAACTACATAAAGGTCTGGGGTTGTGCTCAGCAGTAGAGCGCTCATCTAGCACGTGCAAGGCCCTGGGTTCGATTCTCAGCACCACATAAAAATAAACAAAGTAAAGGTATTGTATTCATTTTTATTTTAATAATTTGTTAATTACAAAAAAAAAAAAGCCACAGTTGGGCTGTATGTTCAAGGTTATACTTTGTGAAAAGAACCTAGGGGACAATTTAGTCACTTGTTCTTAAACAGAAGATGTATATGTGAACTTTAAAGCAAACTTTACCAAAATAGTTACCTGAGAAATCACACATTAGGATGCCTGAATCCAAGAGAAACTGTTAGAAATGCATATTCTTAGGACCTATAACTAGAGAGCCATTTGATAAGTTTGGAGAAAGATTTTTCAACTACCCCACCACCACCACCACTGAATTCAGGGCACTCTACTACTGAACTACCCCCAGTCCTTAATTTTTATTTGGGAACAGAGTCTCTCTAAATTGCTGAGGCTGGGTTGGCCTTGAACTTGTGATCCTCCTGCCTCAGCCTCCCAAGTAGCTGGGATGACATGCATGTGCCACTGTAGCTGGCTAGAATTTAACATTTTCAACAAGGACCCAAGAGGATTCTGATATGGGTGATTAAATCACTACTCACTAGATGATGATGATTCTTTCTTCTTTCCCAAGACCTTCTTTCAACTTCAGCCCTCACCATCACAACACTCACACCCAGCTCCTCACTATTTATTTGCTTTCAATTTAAGCTGATAAGGCTTTAAGAATCAACCATGCAGAGGTCAGGGCTGACCTCTACAAGAACAGCATCCTTGGAAGTTGGCCTACAAGAACTAGCTCACTTCCACAGTTGGCTTAAGGTTGCACTTAGCAAACAGTTCTTGATCTATCTCAATACAAACATCCTACCCAGGTACACTGACTTCAGTGAGTGCCACCAGCGTGACCACAGTAAATTCAGCCTAGAACATTTCCAGTGGGCTAAATGTCAGCACTTAAAAATCTCAGCACACTTATAGAACATGTGGTTGCTAGCAATGTAACACAGAAAGCACCTTGGGGGGTGTGTGTGTGTGTGTGTGTGGTTTTGTTTTTTTTTGTTTTTTTGTTTTTTTTGAGTACACTTACCTGTCTTCTACTGTTTTGTTGGAAGGGTAAAAAACTTTGAATGAAAATCCACTTCTTGGAAAAGAGCCCTTAGGGGGAGAAAAATGCCTGTAAGTAACTAATCAAATTTTATAAAATAATCCCTATTTTTTTAAGCAAATTCTTTTTCATGAAAGTTACAAGATGTGATTATAAAACAATGAGACAGATTTTAGCATCTTTGTGGAGAGAAGGTTGTTACTATATCTCTACTTAAAGCAAGTCTTTCAAGTTGACTAGGCAGTCTTATGCTAAAACAAGACTGGGAGTGCTTAGGAGTGACTACTTGGTTTAAGAAATAAATGATACTGTGTGATGTTAAATATGTATCTGGGACACTCATATATTCAAGAAGTCTTCCCTGCCTCTCTCCACAATGAAAATCTGGTGTGCCCCCAAGGCAACTGAGCAGCAATCACAAATATAACTCCCTACTATGAAACCCTTAAGGTTACTCAGCAGCAGCTCTGCCTTTTCAGTGTCTGTATCCCCACCCCTAAATCAATGTGTGGCCCATGGCAAGGATTCATTAATGTGAATAAGTATCAAGAGGAGATGAATCAGTGTCAAAAGCAAGTTGTGATGATGGTGTGGGAGATAGTCATACACTCACTCACAGATACAAGGTACATCAACTATAAGAATTCACTATTCACCTCCCTGCCTTTTTTTTTTTTTTTTTGTACCAGGAATTGAACCCAGAGGGGCTCAACCACTGAGCCATATTCTCAGCCTATTTTTTTTTCTTTTTACTTTATTTTATTTTGAGACAGCATATTGTTAAATTGCTTAGGACCTTGCTGCTAAGGCTAGCTTTGAACATGCAATCCTCCTTCCTTAGCCCCCCCAGCCACTGGAAAAGTTAACTTTAAATAAGGAAATAGCCTTGTTCATTTATGAAAGATATCTGTGAATAAAATTATACAAAAATTAGGTTACAAATTTTAAGCAAGGCTGACAAATTAGTTAACTGTGTTCATCCTTAGAACAGCAATTTTCAACCAGGGATGATTCTGAACCTCAGGAAACATTTTGGAAAATGTCTAGAGACATTTATGATTGTCACAAGTGGGGGATGCTACTGGCATCTAGTGGCTAGAGGTAAAGATGCTGCTAAACATCCTACAATGCACAGAACAGCCCTCATGACAAAGCATTATTTGGACCAACACATCAAAAGTATCAAATTTAGAAGCTCTCTCGTGGAGGAAACTATATAAAATGTGTGCCTTTTTTGTTGTAAATAAAAATGTGTATCTGACGAAAGTAGTATCCAGTAGTAAGGCAAAATATTTCTAGAATTGATTATTAAACAAAAGTATTAAAATCTAAAAGTCATAAGAATCAAGGAAGCATGCAGACTGAAAAATCACTAATGAAGATAATTATTTGCTTAACAAACAACTTCAACATTGTGAACTAATTTGAAAAGTTCTACATAAAAATTAAACAGAATGTATCTCAATTAAATTTCATTTATCAGGCTTGGGCTTTTGACACTTGGACAATTTCCTAAAAATCACAATTCTCCTCAAAGGACAAGAACCATTAATATTCTGTAATTCCAGCGGCTTGGGAGGCTGAGATAGGAAGATTATGAATTCAAAGCCAGCCTCACAACTTAGCGAGGCTTTTAACAACTAAGTGAGACCCTGCCTCAATAAAATACAAAAAAGGGCTAGGGGTGCTGGGGTTATGGCTCAGCAGTAGAGCACTCACCTAGTGCATGCGAGGCGCTGAGTTCTATCCTCAGCACCAAATAAAAATAAATAAATAAAATAAAAGTATTGTGTCTAACTGCAACTAAAAAAACAAAAAAATTTAAAATTACAAAAAAATAATAATAATAATAAAGGCTGGGGATGTGGCTCAGTGGTTAAGTGCACCTGGGTTCAATCCCCGGTACCAAAAAAAAAGAACCATTAATATAATATGGCTAAAGGGAATAAGATACAGGCTCTAGGGCTGGGGTTGTGGCTCAGTGGTAGAGTGCTCGCCTAGCATGTGTGAGGCCCTGGGTTCGATCCTCAGCACCACATAAAAATAAATA